ATCTATGTAATGAAAAGGTGGTAATATAATAAATTAGAAAATATTTTCTGAGAATTGGCATGTTTAAATCACACCGAAAGATATTAAAAAAAACCTCATCGCATAATCAATATCAATATACTCAACACGTTTATTATTATAAAACAAAAAAAAAAGCTATTCTTTTTTCTCCTCTTCTTCTTCTACTACTTTTTCTTGACTCTCATAAAAAGAGTACTATTTTACTACATGGCTAAAATAAGCACAAATACTGTTATTACTACTGATAGGGCTATCGTTAAATTAAGTCAGAGCCCAAAATATAGCATAATTCAAAATTATTATAACATAATACATAGCCTACTGATTAATAATAGCTGAGATGCACATTTCAGAATTAATAATCGCTTTTAGTATATCTTACTGAATATTTATTGTCTACAAAATGAAATATGAATTATATGCATCTTTAGAAATACAATTTCTACAATACTATTCTTGTTTTTATGTAGATAAATGTTCGATAAATTCTATCTTTCATAAAAAAAAAAAAAAACGAAATTCAGCGCGTCTATTTTCTAATCAATGGCGTTTGTAAACGTGCACGGACGTCATCGTCGAATCCCAGGACTTCCGACGGTAAAGCTGGCCTGTCTGCCTAGGTCCGTCCCAGGCCAACCAATAATAATTAACAAAATGTATTTTTTTAAATATAGGCCTATGGCGCAGCCTGTACATGCACTTCAACTTTTACAACAAAAGCCTAGGCCTAGTAGGCCTACCTGTAATACGTCCTACTGTACTTAGGCCTACACTAGTTTGTTGTCGGGTATAATTCTGTATCTAAATGAACGAGGAGCGAACCTAGCTAGTCAACATCTAGGCTAGGCTAATTAATTTTAAAATCAGTAACCCACCAGGACTATCTGTCAATTTCTTCTTTGCAACAGCGGACGAAAAAAAGTCAGTTATTCTACAACGTTTGATGAATCTTTATCACTGAAAATTAACAAACACTCGTTTTGACGCACTCCGTTCTGTAGTGTAGTGCTATGATGAATGAGATGGACTATTTTGATTTATTAATAATATTTTGTTTGGGATGAAAAAAGGGAGAGTCCATTTCCCCAAAATGCTCCATCAGCACATAGTTTAGTTTGTGCTATGGACAGTATGGCTATGGAATTTACTAACCACACAACCCACAATTACGTGATTAAGTCGCAAAACTTTATATGCATTTGGTGGATTAAGTCGCAAAACTTAAACTTCGTTTGGTGGCACCATTTACTCTAGGTAGACGGCGACCGGTTTCGTTACCGGTTGGTACGTTTCTTACAAACATTCAGCCAAAGGCCAGTGAAAGTTGAGACGGCAGCCGGGTTTTTATCGATGTTTGCCATCCTTATGTGTGCCATCGTAAAGTCATGGTTTGCTGGAATTGCGTTTTAATTTAAATCTCCCAACTTCTGAAGCTGAGATATTCTATGAATGTAGGCTTTTATCGCAGGCTACAATTTAAAAACGGGTGGGACTCTTTCAAAAATTTGAGGGGGTTCGCTTGAAAACAGAGGGGTTCCCCCGAACCATAAAAACCCCCCCTGGCTACGGGCCTGCCGGGGGGAGGAGATGGGGCTGGTGCCCCAGACGAGGTGTCAGATTTCCCCGACGAAAGCAAAGTGGGCAATTAGGGGTTTCAAAGGCTTATCGATTTTAGTGTCTACTAATATGTAAAAAATACATGTAATATTTTTTTCTCCCCGACGAATTGTGCTTTTTCTCCCCGACCGGGGGAGGGGGGGTGGCAGCTCTTCCCG